TCGGTGGTTATAAATCCTAGGCTAGATATTTTCATAGGACAGTCGGAGAATTCTATGCGTCTGTATAGAACGGCATCATATTTTACATAAATCTACGCGCATACACGAAACAATGGCAATCCCGTCTCTCAACATGGATATATATCAAGGCGGCTCTTATTCGTAACCTCCGCAGTCTTCTGTTTTCCTGGAAAACATACGTATGGAGGCACTAAAATATAAATACTTCCCGGTTTTATTTATTGTTATATCCACTAGGATTCACAGATGCTGTATACCTTTACATTTTTGTTTTATCGCTTTGGCTTGACGGCGTGTCTCTTCTAAGAACCAGGGTACAGTTCGTTCTACTTCACCAGAATCTGCAGATAAGTATGCGAGCTTATCTTTTCTTGAAGAAGTAAATCATACAAAGTATTTCGGAGTATATTATACTTATTGATTAAAATTTTATTCCTTCTGTCAGGTATTTTGTATATCAAGGATCAAATGTGGACCTCCTAGCTGACGTCACACATTTGCGGAGTGCACTTGCCCAGATTTTGGCGCTCTTTATTTTACCTTCGGGTTTTGTAATGAGTCGTTTACCTGGGTAAGCTTACTATCTCCCAATGGACCATTGTAGATGAACTAAGATATAATATTTGACTTGATAGTATATTGGTTAATGTTGTAAACGGTCAAAGCCATTCCACGATCTCTGCTATAATTAATCATCAAGCGCTGCACCGCTAGACCGCTTTGATTTTGTAACCTCTCTCTGCAGACATTGGTCAGAAAACTTCTGATAAAAGGACTGCAATTAAGCAAGCGAAAATGTCTTGTCATCCCGACAACATTCGCAGAGCGACGAATCTTGTTCATGAAGGAAGAAATTATCTTCATGCATTCCGCAATGAGCAATGGAACGATTTTCTATCGGCGATGCTTGACTCAATTACTCCTCTCTGAAAAGTGGCGAAGTCGCTCAGAAACACAGTTCTTATTTTATCATGGTTCCTTAATATCTTTTAACTACATTGCATTTGTATATGATAAAGCAACTATCTAGAAGTATTTTATAGAAAAAATGAATAAAGTATAACCTTATTTGTACATGTATCTAAAGACCACAGATGAAAAGGTTCGTTTTTTTAAATTAAAGAAAAAATTCAATACCTCAAATACAAACGGTGAAACTTTTATATAGATAAGTTTTTGTTATTTGAGAGGTCAGTCCAAAGCCTACCTTCTCACCTTCTCCTTAAGTTTGTCGTTTACTTATTGGACGCCCTGTATATATATATAACTTGAGACGTGGTCATTGTCGTCTAGACCAGTTAGGTGAAAAATTAAAGCTTCCGCCTTTTGTTGGGTACTTCGACAAAATTTAAGCAAAGAGGACTCTTTATACTTTTTTAATTTTCTCTAGCTTTCAATGGACTTTGCCATCATCATCAGGAGCTGCAATTACAATGATAACAGTAGCAACACAAGTGTAAAATGAATTTAAATTGACTCAACTTACAGTAGTATGTGAGGATGTTGCTAATTGTTGTTTACGTATAGGATGAGGGAAACGTCCAGTAACATGGTAAGAGCTGGATAGATGGTACAATAGTCAAAATTATATAAAATATGACAAGAACAAGTTAAAAACAGATTAAAAGTTATTTAAAAAACATTAGAGCATTACATCGTGAAGCCACTTGACGATTGCACAAAATGGTGGTCATGGAATAATGAGTGAGATGAACCCTTTGACAGAAGGCCGAAGGTTGTCAATGTCTGTGTTGAAAGATGGAACGAATTGTGGGCGTGTGCCAAACGTTGCCAAATCACTTCAGATGATGTGATTTTCAGAATGTTATGTAAGAAATTGTTAAACCGACCAGAGGCAGTTGAATAAACTATATTTTAATTAATGGAATTTAAATTAACAATTATTAATAAATCGTGAGAAGAGAATTATTATATTTTAAGTGGAATGAAATTTACTGGTGGATTCGGCCAAAATACAGATTCTATTTCTGGTTGTGAAGAGTCGAAATTTGGGGAGATATGTAAGTTCTCCAATTTTTCGCAGTTTAGCAAATATGAGTAAATGACACTCAGTTGTTTAACATCTGTCTTTTTGTTGATACAGTTGTTATTAATGAAAATGTGGGACATTTCCAGGAATAAACGTTTGGAAAGGTGTTTTTCTTTATCAAGAACTTTGATACTTGTGTAATTCATAGAATGCCCTGTTGTGTTAACATGAGATGCTAGAGCGCATCTTTCAGGATGAAGCCTAGCATCACTTTTGTGTGATGTAATCCTTCCTTTAAGAGATCTGGAGGTCTGACCTATGTATATTTGGTTGCAGTTGTTGCAATTGATGGAGTAGACTGTGTTGGTTAAGCCAAGCAGCGGGACTATATATATAACAAAACTCAATAAAACGCTTATTTCCTTATAATCCTGCTAGTCTCTACAGTAGTATTCCTGTTAACTATAAAACCATGAATCTTGTTACCGCAAACATGTTAGGCTGTACTTAACTGAGCTCTACGTTTTAATTTTTCTTTTCTCTGGTCATTTTTGTCAATAATACTAGTTTATGGATACTTTGGTAGTGCTGATTTGTGAAAACTTTATTATTTGTATCTCTTTGACCATCTCTGTCTATGGTTGGCTACAGTGCCATCCATGAGACACTAACTTTTTCAGTGTATATTCCTGAAAGGAGAAACATCGCTGTGACAAATGCATCTTATACCATCTCGTATATTTTTTGGACATCGGAATATAGTATTAGGTTTGCTACCTACAGGTAAGAATGCGTTCATCAATAGTTATGCAGGATCCATTTCACGTTTGTGCAGTTTCAAAAATATGTATGCTTAGAGCATAAACAATCAAGCACAACAAGCATCATGCAGCAATGCATTTATATGAATGCTATATACGTGCGCGGTTTCATAAAAACCCATTCTATAATCACGAAGTGATGAAAAATAATTACAATATAATTACATCTCAGGCGATTACATGTAATCATCGGATTTTTCCCAGGACATGATCACAGCCAGGGGTGGATGAATCGTTTTTGTGAAAGAGATACATCGTTTTACTTTAATAAAACACTTTCATATTTCCTACATTGTCTTGTACTTACTAACGAACATAATCAAGATAAAAGGAAGCTCCCTCTTAGATAGGTGAAGCTTCTGTGACCGCTTTCAGCCGACCATGCTACACAGTTATTATATTAGCCTTCCCGATCCGAGGTGCAAGTTGTCACCAAAAATCTGCACACTCACCAAAACACTTGGATCATTGCGCTATGCTTACCAATTGTATTCGCTTGCTCTGTCAAAACTGTCAGCAGTGAGCCTTTCATCGAGCGTTCATTCCAGTTTACTACCTGCTTATCTATCTGCTGCATTTTGAGATATTCAGGGGTGCCTTCTTTGTCAGTGCTTTACATGCGTTCCCGTTTCTTCGAACGTCTAGCTAACATTAATATTTCTCCAAAAACTTATTCATATAAAATCGATTAAGCATTGGGTAGAAGTATATTTTTCGGTATCATGCAAGGATTCATTCGAGTCTATTCATTCGAGAAATCATAGGCATTAAAAGTGGCAACACTGGCTTGCTGATAGTCTAATTTCTAATTGATAAATTTCAGATCGTTTATAGCGGTTAGTAGGGCATCATGAGGACATTGTTGCCGTTTATAATATTTGCCTGTGTAGTACTCACCGATCTGGGAGTTCAATGAGAGATTGGATATTTTATGCGCGAAACCGTGTTGAATGAAACGATTTGCCCCTGACAGAAGGTTTTATTCATACAAACCAGTATTATTGATACACCAACCATTATTCACATGCAATATTTACTATGGTCCGTAAACATTTATCATGGAATGTAAAATTTATTGAGCGTGTAGCCAAAACGTCAGTTATTATTGATGTATAAGTTTATGATGAAATCCACTAACACTGATGGAATCATTAGTAAATATTGATCTATCTCTATGAAACATTAAACTTTTTAAAAATAAATTTTCAATTATTCTGGAGAGGACAAATATAGCTGAGACAAATTCTTACAGATGACGCTACGGTATTTCATTTCATCTCGAATAACTTTTGAACGCGGGAATAATGTATAAGTATAAAGCTATCTCGAGGTATGATACGTTAATTAATCATTAAATAGAATTAAAATAAATTATGGGAATTTTATAGCACATCCTCACAAAACAAGATTTAAATACTTACCACTATGAGAAGTGGATGGCCTTATTTGACTATTCTCTTCATGCAGTAGATATAAGACAGCTGCTGACAAACCAACGTTACTCCTAATCTAGACGGAATATCAATTGACTCTGAACATTAATACATTGAGTTCGTCTGAAATTAGAGAGGTCTTTGGTATCGTACTGGATTTTTGCTTGGTGATGGAAATCAGGATTTGAACCGCAGCTTCACAGATTTTTGTTACAGAAAGATTTAAGCCTGATACCAATCCCTCAAAAAATATATGCAATTTTGTTTTTCCCTTTTATAAGATCTCAAGCTATGATCAAGCAACGGTTTAGGCTACGGCTCAAGCTATGGCTCAAGCTGTGGCTCAAGCTATGACTCAAGCTATGGCTCAAGCTATGGCTCAAGCTATGCTCGTGCTGTCGCTCAAGCTATGATCAAGCAACGTTTTAGACTATGGATCAAGCTATGGCTCAAGCTATGCTCAAGCTGTGGCTCAAGCTCTGCTCAAGCTGTGGCTCAAGCTATGTTCAAGCAACGGTTTAGGCTACGGCTCAAGCTATGACTCAAGCTATGACTCAAGCTATTGCACAAGCTATGCTCAAGCTGAGGCTCAAGCTATGTTCAAGAAACGGTTTAGGCTACGGCTCAAGCTATGCCTCGGTTATGCTCAAGCTATTTATCAAGCTTGAGCATAGCTTCATCATCGTTCCATCTAAAATCAAATAAAGATAAATTAAGTTTTTTTTTCTGTTCCAGACCATCATTATGGGGATAGCTGGTGGGATGGTCGCGTGCATGAGTGTCTTCTCACCCAAAAGGCAAGAAATCCTGCTCTACTTCGCAGTTTCAACCCTAATAGTGAACTGCATCAACCTCACCCTAATAGAGTACTGGTTATACGTTATTGGTTTATCCAGCCAAATACTGGGAGAGTTTACCAATGACCTGCTTATAGAATATGGTGAGTGCCAAATCATCGACATATTTTTTTTCTATAGCCATCTACGTTTTATTACTCACACTCGGGCAGAAAAAGTGACATTTGTATCGATATTGACATTGAATACGTAGCTATGCAGGCCTAGAGTGATAAGATAATAAATGCCTATACACGTATAGGCAGCGTTGAGTCCGACGATTATTAGCATAATTTTGTATTTCGATAGTTTTGTGATTACTAAAGTTAGGTTCCTGTATGCGGAATTATGGTATAAACCTGAATTTAGGCTGTTCAGATATTCGTCCCGGATAGAATATTCACGTTCTCCAACATACTTGCTGCGCAAATAACCGCTTACACTGCTTATGGCTGATATAAATCTCTGAAGGTTCATCGTTATTCTGACAGTGTTTTTGGTTTATTTTTCGAAAATACCATGAATCATTCCACTCATACCTAGAGAAAAGTACTTTTTTGGCACTACTCGAATTATTTGCTCCCATGTGCTGAAATTGAGAAGTTTCGTGATGTTCAGAATCGATGAAATATAATCAACCAGTGAAAAATTATTGAAATCGGTCAATAAATGACAGAGAAATTAATACTTAAATTTGACGCATTAAAGCGCGAAATCGTTGCTGCCGCGTCAGTTCTCGTCTGACGACTATTGCCGAGTGTGCTGACAACGTGTGTGCGTTTAGTAATTAACAGGCTTTTATAAGCTTGACCTGTATGTATGTACCGGAATCTTTGAGCATAATTTTCACCAATTTCCAGAAGTTTGATTAATATGAAACTTCACACACGTAACAGGTCGGATGACCACGTAATAATTTGATAACAGTTTTCCATTAGGGGAGTAAGAGAGATAGAAATAGCGCTTGATCTGCCCATGCGTGCAGTTTCGGACTGACTCTTTAGGGGCCTACAGACACACGAACATGTATTAAGACATAAACGCACGTCGACGTTTGCGCGTTGATGTTCGCCAGTGTGTAGACAAATCTCTAGTTAAAAGACCGACGCACATGCTTTCTGTTTTCGCTTGAATTTATGCCTGCACAGACTTGTACGCGCGTGTATGTATGCCTGTGTGTAGACAAAACGTACTAATTTTCACAGACTTAATTCAGTGGCGCGACTGCATTCGTGTATTCTGTTGTTAGGAGCAGGGGGGTCAACTTAGAAGTTCATTTAGTCTTGAATTTGTCAATATGGCAGATTTGAGAAGTTTTTCCAAAGAGTTTATAACAGAGTTCATAGAACTTTACAAATCCTATCCATGTTTGTGGCGAGTAAAATCAAAAGACTATATGGATCGCAATAAAAAAAACGAAGCATATAAAGTGTTGGTGCTGAAGCTCCAAGAAGTTGAGAAAAATGACAACAAAGAAATGGTTAAAACTAAAATTAATAGCCTCCGAGCTAGTTTTCGGAGAGAACTAAGAAAAATTAAAGAGTCGAGAAGATCGGGTGCTGCAGCAGATGATGTTTATATACCACATTTATGGTATTATGATCTACTTTTATTTATAAAATGGACAGTTGCCATTCAGAAATGGAAAATGAAGACGCTCTAGAACTGGAGGTAAGGCCTGATTTATTTATTTGACTTTTACTTCCCACGCCAACTGGAGAGGAAAAGAGGAAGTATTGTAATAATAATAATAATAATAATAATAATAATAATAAATTGCTTTTATTGCTCATGTAAGTACAGAAAAAGAAAAAGTACATAAATCTGATGCAGTGAGCAAACGGCAAGGTTCGCTTGATTGACAACCATTAGCTGTCAATCCGCGCTCTTCCACCTAACCAAATCGCGAATAATTTCGAAAATGAGGTATTATATTTTATGGATGGTATATAATATATAACACATATATATAAAAAACATGGATATGCTTGAACCGATAAAATCAATGCGTGGGAAGTGCGGAGTCAACCTACTTGATGCCATTTTTTGATTTCATGTAAGAAATAATGAAGTAGTACACATATTAATATAGAGGGTAATAAAAAATCGTCTTGATATTTTGATTCGCTTTACTTCAACTTAAGTACTTAGAAGGTATAATACATAAATTAGCAAATCATTCTTTCCTGCCAAGCTACGGATTCCTCATTATTAAAGTAGTTCAGAAATAACTGTCTAACTTCTTGTGCATCCTTGTTTGCTCTTCTATTGTTACCCCGTTGCAAACTAGTCATCTGATTGGGTTGCAAGCCTAATTCAACAGTGCCATCTTCATGGTTCTCCCTGTATAAGTTGTTATCAGGTGCATACACAATGGCAGTTCTTCTTCTCAGAAAATTATGCAGAACACAACATGCCATCACTACTTTGTCAATTGCTTTTAAGTTAATAGATATAGCTGTGTGGAATATTCTAAATCGAGCAGAGAGTATACCGAAAGCATTCTCTACTCTACATCCTTGCCCTTGAGAGACGATAATTGAAAATTTTCTTATCATGATCCCAGTCTCTCTGGCTAAATGGTTTCAAGAAATCACAGCGGAGTGCAAACGCTTCATCACTTATAAAAACAAATGGCAATGCTTCTTTACTGTTCATTGTTCTTGTTGGAGGTGGTATGGAGAGTTTCCTATCTTTAAGCTTCCGGTAAAACTGGCTGTACTCAATAACTCCTCCATCAGATACGCGGCTGTTGATCCCGAAATCACACATAATGAACTCGTAATTTGCGTTGACCACTGCCAAGAGCACTAGGCTGTATGCCCCTTTATAGTTATAAAAATATGAACCACTTCCGGTGGGCGGTTTTATATTGACATGTTTTCCATCTACCGCCCCCAGGCAGTTCGGACAGTTGCATCTCTTTTCGAAGTCGTCTGCAATATTTCTCCATTCATTCTCGGTCGTTGGGAACTGAAAAAAATCAAAAATATATATTTTTTTGCATAAAACTAGATATGATGTAAATGAAAGTCAAGAGAGTGAGCTGAGCTCAGTACCAAGTCCACCAATATCCAGACCTTGTAGTAGTCAAAATGTACGTCCAATTTCCAATCCAGAAAACATTGTACCGCTGCCTGCAGCTGGAAATCGGGGAAAAAATAAACGCAAGACAAACTCTGATAACCAAGAAGCAGACAACGTGTTGGCGGCGGTAGGAGAAAGACTACGTTCCAAGAATGACGATCAATTCGCCATTTTTGGGAAAAATCCCTCAGCAAAATTGAAAGGACTCCCAAAAGAAACCAGATTATACACTGAGAAACTCATAAATGATCTGCTGTTTGAGGCTGAAATGGGTAACGTGTCCAGAAATACTAGGATTGTTTCGTCAGGAGACAATGAACAGAATCAAAACAATTTTTCCAGTAATAGCGTTGTTGATGCTTGCTACCCTAATCAATATAACTACAATTCAACTCAACCTATAAATATATCAGGCACACAAAATCAAGCTCAAACTTATTTGCTACCAGCTATGCCACTTAAGCCCCAGTGCCATCAAAGCCATCCTCAACAAATCAACGAGGGTAGCTCCACAGTTTCAACTTATTTTGGATCGTATAATCCTCTAAGTGAAGCTAACATTTAAGGTCCAGTTTATATTTCCATATAAGAGTTCCGTTAGATTAGCGTTGTATATATAAAAATAGAATACTTGAGAGTTTGTGTTTGTGTTTATTTTGTTTATTTTACTACTAAGTAATATACTCTGTACCCACCTTCATATAGTCTTTCTTCAGTACTTCATAAATAGCGCTGCATGTCTCTGGAATTATGTTGCACAATGACTGTGGAGAAATCAGGGTAGAAAATTTTAAATCTTCATAATTCCTCCCAGTGGCCAAATACCTCAATGTGGCCGACAGTCTTTCATGTACCGATATAGCGGGTCTCATCGGTGTGTTCTGTTTTTCAATAAGTGGCGAAACCATCTCTAGGAGTTTTATATAACTATCTTCATCCATCCGGAGGTAGTTTCGCCAATCATCAGGTTCTAATCGTAGCTCTTCAAGTAAATTGATGTGAGAATATTGATCCCGCTTCAAAAGCCAATCTTTAACCCATTTTCTTCGTGGCTGACGTCTCTTTTTCAATTGATGTCTTCTTTTTTTCACAATACAAACGCACGCCACTGCTAGTAAGTTTAACTCATCATCGCTAGACATGGCGACAAACTACAACATCCACGTGGAGAAAACTGACACACAAGTCTCTATGTGTGGAGCTAAAAGTAGATCGACGGGTATCACTGCGCAAACATCGCCGTGCGTTCATGTCTTAATACATGTTCGTGTGTCTGTAGGCCCCTTTTGTTGGTTGGGGCACTCGGGACAGCAGATACCTTTTCAAGGTAGTGCATTCTCACCTTGTTCATTGCGAATGTTGCCATTAATCCTGAGTTGGGCTTCGACCGTCCACAAGATGCAAGGTAGTCGATCATGCAGTCATTTATCTAGGCTCGCGAGTGTTTGTTGCTGGACGAGCTTATGTAGCCCTTAGTCGTGTAAGATTTTTCGACGGTATTCGTATTGAAGAACTTGATTGTTCTAAGTTGACAGGAAAAACCCCATGCAACACTGAAGTTTTAAATGAAATGATTAGATTACGAAGTGATTCGTAAGACATTTCAATACCACTTGTCCACAAAAAACTAATTGATAAATCGAACTAAAAAATTAAACATCTGGGATTCTTAAATTTCCCTGAAATAAAAAAGGTCATAAATTCGTTGCAGCACTGCCATTGAATATCAAATAGAAATAGAAGATGAATTTCTAATCATTCACTTACCTATTATCAATAGTTTCCATTTTTCAGTACCAGAAGCATTAGCACAAATCATAACAGTTATTCGCTCCTTGGATAGTTTCCCTCCATTGCAAGTTTCACTTTTTAATTTATGAGTTTTATCTGGTAGCATTCTATAAAATATTCCGGTTTCATTTGCATTGAATATGTTATCATCTGAATAATCACTGGATATTACGGGCCAAACTTAAGAAATCCTGTCATTGGAAACGTTCTTGTCAATTGAAGCTGA